GGCCCGTTAGGTCAGGCTTCTTACTGGCTAACTCTCACATCCTGATTAACCCATTTTTCTGATCTATGTTAGCCATGTGGCTCAGTACCTTTTTCAGTAGGGCAGCTCACATCCTGCTGCTTCGATGGTCTGGGCAGGAGTAGGAGGAATCAACTTTCTTCTCAGAATTCTCCTGCTCTCTTTACATCATTTCTACTTCCTGACTGGTTTTCCCACCTACACCTCCTGCCTGGCCAATCAGCATTTTATTTAAAACATGATTGAGAGAATACAGACAATTCTCCCCCACCACCCGACTGTCCAGCACCCACTCCCACATCCCACTGTCCAGCAACCCCACTGTCCATTACCCCACACTGTCCAGCACCTCAGCAGCAAGGGTTGACATTCTCATGTCATCTGCATGTGCTTAGGAAAAACACATTGCAGTCAGCAGCGTGGAGAAGGTGCTCTTCATCACATTGCAGTCACCAGTTTGGAGAGGGTGCTCCATAACACATTGCAATAATCAGCCTGGAGAGGGTGCTCCTCATCACATTGCAATCACCAGCGTGGAGAGGGTGCTCCTTATCACATTGTAGTCATCAGAATGGAGAGGGTGCTCCTCATCATAGTGCAGTCATCAGAATGGACAGGGTGCTCCTCATCACATTGCAGTCATCAACTGCATGGAAGGGTGCTCCTCATCATATTGCAGTCATCACCAGCGTGGAGAGGATGCTCCTCATCACATTGCAGTCATCACCAGCGTGTAGAGGGTGCTCCTCATCACATTGCAATCATCAGCATGGACAGGGTGCTCCTCATCACATTGCAATCATCAGCGTGGAGAGGGTGATCTTTATAACATTGCAGTCATCAGCATAGAGAGAGTGCTCCTTATCACATTGCAGTCATCAGCAGCATGGGGTGATGCTCCTCATCACATTGCAGTCATCAGTAGCATGGAGAGGGTGCTCCTCATCACATTGCAGTAATCAAAGTGGAGAGGGTAATCCTCATGACATTGCAGTCATCAGAGTGGAGAGGGTGCTCCTCATGACATTGCAGTCATCAGTGTGGAGAGGGTGATGCTCATCATATTGCAGTCATCAGAGTGGAGATGGTGCTCCTCATGACATTGCAGTCATCAGCAAAAAGAGGGTGCTCCTCATCACATTGCAGTACCAGTGTGGAGAGGGTGCTCCTCATCACATGGCAGTCATCAGCAGCATGGAGAGGGTGCTCCTCATCACAATGCAGTCATCAGCAGCTTAGAGAGGGTTGTCCTCATCATATTGCAGTCATCAGCATGAAGAGCGTGCTCCTCATCACATTGCAGTCATCAGCAGCATGGAGAGCTTTCTCCTCATCACATTGCAGTCATCAGCAACATGGAGAGGGTGCTCCTCATTAACTTGCAGTCATCAGCAGCATGGAGAGAGTGCTCCTCCTCACAATGCAGGCATCAGCAGCATGGAGAGGGTGCTCCTCATCACATTGAAGTTATCAACATTGAGAGGGTGCTCCTCACCACATTGCAGTCATCATTGTGGAGTGGGTGCTCCTCATCACATTGCAGTCATCAGCGTGGAGTGGGTGTTCCTCATCACATTGCAGTCATCAGCATAGAGAGGGTGCTTCTAATCACATTGCAGTCATCTGCGTTGAGAGTGCTCCTCATTACATTGCAGTCATCAGCAGTGTGGAGACTGTGTTCCTCATTACATTACAGTCATCAGCATGAAGTGGGTGTTCCTCATCACATTGCAGTCATCAGCATGGAGATGGTGCTCCTCATCACAATGCAGTCATCAGTGTGGAGTGGGTGCTCCTCATCACATTGCAGTCATCAGCAGTGCGGAGACTGTACTCCTCAACATCGTGCATTCATACGCGTGGAGAGAGTGCTCCTTATCAAATTGCAGTCATCAACAGCTTGGAGAGGGTGCTCCTCATTATTTTGTAGTCATCACCTGCGTGGAGAAGGTGCTCCTCATCACACTGCAGTCATTAGCATGGAGAATGTATTCCTTATCACATTGCAGTCATCAGCAGTGTGGAAAGGGTACTCCTCATCACAGTGCATCATCAGCCTGGAGAGGGTGCTCCTCATCACATTGTAGTCGTCAGCATGGAAACTGTGCTCCTCATCACATTGCAGTCATCAGCATGGAAAGGGTGTTCCTCATCACATTGCAGTCATCAGTGTGATGAGGGTGCACCTCAGCAATTGCATTCATTACCAGCATGGAGAGGTTGTTCCTCATCAAACTGCAGTCATCAGCAGCTGGGGAGGTTGCACCTCATCACATTGCAGTCTTCAGCATCAATAGAATGCTCCTCATCATATTGCAGTCATCAGCATCATGGAGAGGGTGCTGCTCATTACCTTGTAGTCATCAGCAGCGTGGAGTGGGTGCTCCTCATAACATTGCAATCATTAGTGTGGAGAATGTGTTCCTCATCCCATTGTAGTCATCAGCGTGGAGTCGGTGTTCCTCATCACAATGCAGGCATTAGCAGCATGGAGAGGATGCACCTTATCACACTGAAGTTATAAACATTGAGAAGGTGCTACTCATCACTTTGGAGTCAACAGTGTGGGGAGGGTGCTCCTCATCACATTGCAGTCATCAGCAGCGTTGATAATGCTCCTCATCATAGTGCAGTAATCAGCTTGGAGGGGGTGCTCATCTTCACTTTGCAGTCATGAGCATGGAGAGTGTGCTCCTCATAACATTGCAGTAATCAGCATGGTGAGGGTGCACCTCTTCACATTGTAGTCATCAACGTGGAGACGGTGATGCTCATCATATTGCAGTCATCAGTGTGAAGAGGGTGCTCCTCATGACATTGCAGTCATCAGAAAAAAGAGGGTCCTCCTCATCACAATGCATTCATCAGCAGTGTGGAAAGAGTGCTCATCATCCCATTGCAGTCATCAGTGTGCAGAAAGTTCTCATCATTACATTGCAGTCATCAGCGTGGAGAGTGGGCTCCTCATCAAACTGCAGTCACCAACTGCGTGGAGAGGGTACTCCTCAGCACATTGCAGTTCTCAGCGTAGAGAGGGTGCTCCTCATCACATTGCTGTCACCAGCATGGAGAGGGTGCTCCTCAACACATTGTAGTCATCAGCAATGTGGAGATGGTGTTCCTCTTTACAGTGTAGTCATCAGCCTGGAGAGGGTGCTCCTCATAACATTGCAGTCATCAGCATGATGAGGGTAGGGTGCCACTTAGCTATTGCATTCATCATTAGCGTGCAGAGTTTCCTCGTCATCAAACTGTAGTCATCTGCAGCCGGAGAGTGTGCTCCTCATCACATTGCAGTCATCAGCGTGGAAAGGGTGCTCCTCAGCAATTGCATTCATCATAGACGTGGAGAGGTTGTTCCTCATCAAACTGCAGTCATCAGCAGCCGGAGAGGGTGCTCCTCATCACATTGCAGTCATCAGATTCGATAGGATGCTCCTCATCACAGTGCAATCATTAACATGGAGAAGGGGCTCCTCATCATATTGCAGTCATCAGCAGCATGGAGAGAGGGCTTCTCACCACATTGAAATCATCAGAAGAGTAGAGAGGGTGCTCCTCATCACATTGCAGTCATTAGCATGGAGAGGCGCCTCCTAATCACATTGCAGTCATCATCAGCGTGGAGAGGGTGCTCCTCATCTCATTGCAGTCATCAGCGTGGAGAGGCTCTTCCTAATCACATTGCAGTCTTCATCAGCGTGGAGAAGGTGCTCCTCATCACATTGCAATCATCAGCATGAAGACAGTGCTCCTCATCACATTGCAGTCATCAGTAGCATGGAGAGAGTGTTCCTCATCACAATGCAGTTAAATGTTGAGAGGTTGCACATCATCACATTGCAGTCATCAGCATGATGTGGGTGCTCCTCATAAAATTGCAGTCATCTGCGTGGAGAGGGTACTCCTCATGACATTGCAGTCATCAGCAAAAAGAGGCTCTTCCTCATCACATTGCATTCATCAGCAGCGTGGAGAGAATGCTCCTCATCACATTGCAGTCATCAGCATGGAGAAAGTGTTCATCATTACATTGCAGTCATCAGCGTGGAGAGGGTGTTCCTCATCACACTGTAGTCATCAGCATGGAGAAAGTGCTCCTCATAACATTGAAGTCATCAGCATGATAATGGTACCACTTAGCTATTGCATTCATCATTAGCGTGGAGAGGTTGTTCGTCATCAAACTGCAGTCATCTGCAGTCGGAGAGTGTGCTCCTCATCACATTGCAGTCATCAGCGTGGAAAGGGTGCTCCTCAGCAATTGCATTCATCATAGACGTGGAGAGGTTGTTCCTCATCAAACTGCAGTCATCAGCAGCTGGAGAGGGTGCTCCTCATCACAGTGCAATCATCAGCGTGGCGAGGGAGCTCCTCACCACTTTGCAGTCATCAGCAGCGTGGAGCAGGTGCTCCTCATGATATTGAAGTCATCAGCAGCGTGGAGAGAGTGCTCCTCACCACATTGCAGTCATCAGCAGCATGGAGAGGGTGCTCCCCATCACATTGCAGTCATAGACAGTATAGAGAGGGTGCCAATCATCACATTGTAGTGATCAGTGTGGAGAGGATGCTTCTCATCACATTGCAGTCACCAGCGTGGAGAGGGTGCTCCCCATCACATTGCAGTCATCAGTGTGGAGAGGGTGTTCCTCAACATCTTGCAGTCATCAGCAGCCTGAAAAGGGTACTCCTCATCACATTGCAGTCATCAACAGTTTGGAGTGTGTGCTCCTCATCACATTGCAGTCATCAGCAATGTGAAGAGGGTGCTCCTCATCATATTGCAGTAATCAGAAGCATGGAGACAGTACTCCTCATCACATTGCAGTTATCAGAAGGAGAGGTTTTCCCTCCTCCCATTGCATTCATCAACAGCATGGTGTGTGTTCGTTCTCCTCATTACTTTGTGTCATTAGTAGTGTGGAGAGGGTTCTCCTCATTACATTGCAGTCATCAGCATGGA